ACCTGGAGCTGGGCTGCCGTGAGTCGCCGGCGACAGCGTAGGCGGCAGTGAAGCTGCAGTGGGCTGCTGTAAAGCTACTGTGAGTGGCTGGCAGCCAGCATGAGCTGCCAAAAGCCGCAATGAGCGGCCGTCCGGTTGCTGGCGACTGATCTGCCTCACCCGGGAAGAGCTCAATGATAATACCAACATGAGCAAGTGAAGTGACATCCTCCACAACTAGACTAAAGAACAAAAGGACAGCAACTTGTCTGTTCCCCTTCCCTGATTCCCCAATGCTGTTTCCTTCCAATTCCCCAATAAAATCTTGAAAAAAAACTGTCTCCTAGTTTTCTTTCCCAGTTTGCCTCGCTTTCTAGTCCTACTGTTCTACCCAAGTTCTAATGGTTGGATTTCCCCCCAGAAAAGCCTTGGGCCTTTTCTCATCCACTCTAATGATTTTAAATGCTAATACATGCTAACTTGCCCAATTTTCATTTCTAGCCCAAACTACCTCTCGAACTCTAACAGTCTCTTGACATCATCCCTGGAATCTCACAGTCTTCATGTCCAAGACAAAAATCTTGATTCCCTTCCCTAACTGGTTCCTTTTAGTCTTTCCCATTCTGAAGAAACCGGCATCACGTTCAGCCCAGCTTCACTCCCCATTCCTCCTTTTCCGTCACACACTACATCCTGTCACTGCTTCCTGTCAACTGCATCTCCACTCTTCCATCTCATCTCATCTCAGTGTCACCCTGTGGTGGAAGCCATGCTCACGACTAGGCATCGTTCTCCTGATCTGCTTTCCAGAGAGACCAGAAGAACACTTCCCAACCCCAAATTAGATTACGTGTCTCCTTTGCTTAAACCTCTCAGTGGCTTCCCACCTCACTTGAGAATGAAAGCCCAACACCTTACCGTGGACAAAAGGCCCTCCATGGTCCAGGCCTGCCCATCTCCCCTCACCCACTGTGGTCTTCAATTTGCTGCAACTCCACCCAAGGCCTTTCCCACCTCAGGCTCTTCTGTGTCTGTTCCTGTGCGGCACACCCATCCCTCTTCACGTGGCTGGTTTCTTCTCATCCTCAGGTATCTGCTTAACTATCGCCTCCTCCTAACTTCCTTCTCTCATCAGAGATGTCTGTACTCATACTCCATTCTTCTTTACAGTACCCACTCACAATTCCCATTTCTTTATTTACTGTTTGTCCAGGTGTGCTGTATTGTTCATCTGTGAAGGCAGGGACATTCAGCACCTGACGCTGTCCTAGACCCAATATATTTGATGAAATTGAGTTACTGTGGCAACATCCTTCCCTTAATGGTCCACTTCTGTTAGTTTTTCAAATAGTCTATATGTATTTAGAAGTTTTATTTTATTTTGGTTTTCCTTGATCAAAAAAACAAAAAAAGACACACTTGAATGGATTCTCTCTTCAGGTAATGAATGTCAGACTCGCTGCCCGAGCCTGGAACATGGAGCTCTGAGCTGCTTAGTGGTTACTCGTTCTGAATTCCTATTCCTCAAGCCTGTTGCTGATGCGCAAACACCATGTACCTGCACTGTGTGTGAGTGGGGAGTTCACCATTATTTATTTTCTCAGTGTATTTACTGAAATTGTTTCCCATGAGCCAACCCAATGTGTGACTAAACCAATCACATTTACTTAAAACAGAAATTTTGTCTTTAAAATGTCTAAAAATGGCTGTTACCTCTCTAGATCAGCCTGGTTAATACACACATGAAATTACTCTTTCAAAGACAGTGAGTTCTTCACTTAATTTCTCTGTATATAATCTCTTGCTTTTTATTTAGTTACTCTGCATACAAATGTGTGAGATGAATATGTACTTACTTTTATTTAAAAAGCAACTTTTTTAGAAAATTCTATTTTTAAAATAATAATTTGTTCTGGATGAAACTTATCTATTTAAAAATCAGATTAAATACTGTTAGAGAGAAAAGCATTACACTTTTCTCTCATGGTCCTGATTCTGCCACAATTGGGATTTTGGACAAGTCTTAGCTCCTCGGGGCAGCAGTTTTCTCCTCTGTTAAAGGAGGAAGGAGGATCAAAGGAAAAGACACTGGGCTGAGTGTTCTCTCAAGTCGCTTTCCACTCAAAGTTTTGATTCTGTTAAATAAGCCCTTCTTGTAATACATAGAGGTCTGCAGAGCAGAAAGGTACTAGCTACCCCATGGCTGGGTGTGCATTATGCAAGACGCACTACATGAAAAGCTTCACATGGTTATCTCATTGAACAGATTCATGAACTGGTGATTATTATTCTCCCACTTTATAAGAAAACAAGCTTAAGCCCCAAAAACTCAGTCAGATTAAGTTTCTGTTCCTTTTTTTTTTTTCAGAAACAATCCTCAATTGCCAAAAAAAGAGAAATGGCTTAGACGGGGAAAACTTATGAACTCAGGAAATGCAAATCGAATCGAGGCTTCTTCAAGCAGAACTTTTGAGCAAAGTCGACTGTACTGGGGCTCATGCTACACGCAGTACAAAGCAAATATGTTTATCCCAACCTGTCAAAAATCACCAGCTGTAACGTCTTATCTTTAGAAGGTAGCATTTCAGGACCAGGCAATGAAATCATACAGTTATTCACTTTCTAAATTCAAGCACAAACTTGAGGTACCTCAAAGAAAGAACAGATAATGCCAATTATAAGAGGATCATTCAAAACTAATTTTTAGACAGCCATAAATAATATTTGAATTTAGGAGAATATTTCCTGCACTTTTTCATATATTCAATATTAACACTAGGGTAATCGACTAAAATTAAATATAGTACTAAGAAAACAATGTACAAAAATCACATTTTTAAAACTAAAGTGAGAGTTGAACCCAATAATTTCCTTAGGATAATTAATGCAAAAATTTAATGAGTTTTACACCATAAATTGTACTGTTTATAAAATATTTACCAAATTTTGCTTAGTCTTTTTATTAGGTATAGCCTGAATTTTTTTCAATTAGTAGCAAATACATTTCCTTTTTTTTTTTTTTTGACTGATAAAGTACCACCTTGGTGAATGAAGCCAGTTACCAGACTTAAGCTTAAATCAACTCATAATAAAAAAAAAATCCTGGCTGGCTGAGTGGCGCGTTGGTTAAGAGTTGGCTTGGGACGCAAGCTCTGAGCAGCAGGGCCCCAGTTCGGATCCCACATGAGGGCCAGTGACACTGCCCTCTGCAGCTATGATGGTGAACAACAGCTCGACCTGGAGCTGGGCTGCCATGAGTCGCCAGCAAAGGTGTAGGCTGCAGCCCCTGCTGCAGTGGGCTGCCATAAGCTACCGTGAGTGGCCGGCAGCCGATGTGAGCGGCCATCCAGAGGCTGGCAACCGATCTGCCTCAGTCAGGAAGAACGCAATAATAATACCAACATGGGCCAGTGAAACAACATCCTCCACAACTAAACTGAACAACAAAAGGACAGCAACTTGTCTGTTCCTTCCCCTGATTCCCCAGCGCTGTTCCTCTCCCTCAATTCCCCAATAAAATCTTAAAAAAAAAAAAAATCCTTCCATTATGAGCTAACAGGCACCCAAGAGCAGTTTTAAAAAACAAAAATATTTTTGAAGCACTTGGACCTCAAACAACTGGCTTCAGAAATGGCATCTGAGATACTGAATACAAGGATCACAATTCCATCTTTGTATTTTGTACTTAAAATACTAATATCAAGTGATTGTAACTGAGAAACCACACAAAAAAGCTACAGAGTTTGAGATAACCAAAACAGAAATGCTGCGTTTCATCATTATACATACTCCGCTTTAACTGTGGGAAGAACTCTGCCAGCACCCTCTCTCCAGCCCTTCCTACACTCATGTCTCCTGTCCTGAAACATCCCTCCACCTAGTAAAACATCCTTTGACACCACGTTAGACATACCCTGGGGAACTGCAGTGTCTGTTTCCTTCAGATTGCTCCGTGACGTCAAATAACATATAAAGAGCACTGAGCAGTCGTCTTGCATATAGTCAGTGCTGAGTCAGTCAGATCTCATCATCTTCTTCATCATCAATTGGGCCACTGAAGCACAATTACTAAAATGGTAGCCTAAAAAGTGGACTTTACATCCCAACAATTCCAGTGTTTTTTTAAAAAGCCCAATGATAATTAAATCTGTGATAGTTTTACTAATACATATTAAGGTGATTGTATAATAATATATTGAAAATTTCAAATTTATTTCAGTTTGAGAAGTCTGTATTCTTCAAGCTATACCCAAACTGAAACTAAACTGATAGAAAGATTATATGAAAATCCTCTGAGTAGGAAAAATATTTTCCATAGTAATATAAGATTTTATTTTTTCAATGGAAAAGGAATGGTTAGGAAAGAATCCATTTCTGTATATGAATTTGCCCATTTACCTGATAGATATAAAAATAGCACAAGAAACATAGATAAATCTAAATGGACTGAGCCAAAGAGAAAGGTATTTCATAGAAAGTATTTTATCATCAGAACAGTATGGTTTCCTAGGTTTAAGATCTATTTATTGTGTTATTTTTACAAGTAGCAAAGTCCCTTTGTTTTTTTCCCAGCTTAATGCACATGAATATAAAAAGCTACTGATTCCCACATAGCCCGCCCCACCCCCATCTGACTGGGTTCCCAGGAGCTGTGGATCATGAACAGCTTCCTGAAGGAGCGGTGGTTTCCTCCTTAATGCGGTCTGGAACTCCAGCACTCTAGTCAGTCATCCTCTTGCTGATTTCTCTTCTGCAAAAGGAAACCAAGACTACATTAAAATAGCATATTCGAACTGGAATATTTGTTCAGCCAAGATCACTTTTTCTGTAATCAAGTATCATTTTCTAGAGGTCATGGCAAAAGACGTAGGTGAAAGTCTTTGGAAAAACATGCCTGAATTTATTCACGTGACTAGTTTATCACTTTGGCTCCCGGGCACATTATCCTCAGGTATTTGAATATTTCCTACTCTCTCTTCCCCACTTTCGAACATTCCCACCCAGAAACACATTCACAAATACAAACATTCACTTTCCCCCTTGAGGAACCACAGCAGAGGTCTGACATTCTTTTAGTCTCCTAACAGCATACATACTTTCTTCAAAATCAGAAACATTGTGAAAATTACTCAAAAAGCACGCACATCATAAAAACATTTTCCTGTTATCGCTTTATTATTTATTCTTTTATTATTAAATAAAGTATTCCTTTAGCTCACATTACATACTTCATTATTAAAGGACCTCACTCAGTAAGTCAAGGTAATATAAGACTAAAACGGAACATACAGAGAGGACCAGCATACTAAGCACACATTTACCAGCTTAAGAAAATCAATGAGTTTGTGAGCGTCTTCCCCAGTAGACAAGTCGACAAAGTCCTTGGGCAGCCGGTAACTCAGGTAAGGACTGGGCTGGAAGGTCACTTCACTGTTTGTGCAACGGAAAGCTGGAGAATCCTTTACAAAAAAAAAAAAACAGGGAAAGTCTGTGAGACATTTTTTTCTTTTTAAAAGATATTTTTATTGGGGAATTGGGGGAGGGAACAGCGTTGGGGAATCAGGGAAGGGGAACAGACAAGTTGCTGTCCTTTTGTTCTTCAGTCTAGTTGTAGAGGACGTTACTTCACTGGCCCATGTTGGTATTGTGATCATTGCGCTCTTCCCGGGTGAGGCAGTCGCTCGCCGGCCATTGGAGAGCCGCTCACAGCGGTTCACAGCAGCTCACGCCGGCTGCTGGCCACTCACTGTAGCTCATGGCAGCCCACTGCAGCCCCACTGCAGCCTACGCCGTCACTAGAGACTCATGACAGCCCAGCTCCAGGTCGAGCTGTTGTTCACCATCTTAGCTGTAGAGGGCACAGTGTCACTGGCCCATGTGGGATCCAAACCGGTGGCCCTGCTGCTCAGAGCTTGCGTTCCCATGCCAACTCTTAACCAGTGAGCCACTCGGCCGGCCCTGTGGGACATTTTTTTTTTTTTCCTGTGGGACATTTTTTAAAAGTCCGTTTTCCAAACTGAAAAAGATCCTAGTGTAACAATTTAAACTGCATGTTCCCCTCCATACTCAATAAGGGAGAAAATAAGACTCTAAAGTAAAAGAAGGCAAGGAGGTTTTAAACATGTTTCTACATATTCACTGCGACATAAATGTTAAGTATCAGAAAACAGTGTCCTCATGGGGAGCTAAACACTCCCGGGAGCAGCCCGTGCGCTGCAAATGGGTTACGTTTGGATCGCTTTAGTCCCTCCGTGGACCAGGGGCCTCAGGCTAGTTATCCCAGGTCTTGGGCAATCTCATACTAGCCGGAACGCTTGATAAATATTATCATTGTCTTCAAGTGCAGTTAGGAAACACTGCCTTGGAGAATCAAGTTAATAGTGAGGGCCAGTCATTTAACTTTTTTATGTATCTCTCTCATCACCTATGTAAAACTGCAAAATCACCTATCACACTGAACAAGTCTTCACATTCCGTAGAGTTGACTCTTGAACAACAGGGGGGTTAGGGGCACCGACCTGCAGAGCAGTGGAAAGTCCTTGTAAACTCCAGTCAGCCCTCAGCACGTGCACATCCCCAGCAGCAAAGCTGACCCTTGAACAATGCAGAGTTGACCTCTGAACTGCACTGATCAAGTGGGGAACATCTAAGTATAAGGGGACTCACGCAGTTCAGACCCATGTGGTTCAAGGGTCAACTGTACTTGCTGAAGAGCTTGCCTATAATATTTACATGCTGCCTTGTGCCAAAAAGGATTCTGGAGACAGAAGGCCTTGAGTTTGGACTTCATGTGTGGCAGATATCTAGGTGAGGGATGGATGGTGTCCAGCAGATGGAAACAGACTGGAAACTTGAATGGAACAGGACCTAGAAAGCAGGCCATATCTTATGACAGACAGACCAATCATCTGACTTTTTTTTTTTTTTAAGCTGAGCCATCCTGCCACCTGTTGGCAGCTCAGCTTGGGCCAGGCAGGAATCGAACCGGCGACCTTGTTGCTCAGAGCTCACACTCATGAGCAAGCTCTTAACCAACTGAGCCACTCGGCCAGCCCCATCTGACAAGTATTTATGAAACACCTGCTTTGGGCTGGACCTTGTTCTAGGTATGGGAGATAAACCAGTAAACAAGACAGGGAAACTGCCAATCAGCAAGTCAGCCCACAAATGAACAATATCATTTCAGATAGCAAAAAGCGTTATAAAAACAAAACAACAGGGTGTTATAAGAGCCAAGCAGACTACTTCAGAGAGGCAGTCAGGTAAGAGCTTGTTAAGGAGGGGACGTCTGGACTGAGGGCTGGGAAGCATGATGAAAGCAGCCTCGTGAGGTCAAGGAGCAGAAGGCGGTTTGAAGGCAGTGAAACCACCAGAGCAGAGATGCTACGGCAGGGCGGGGCTTTGCAGCTTCCAGAAAAAGCAGGAAGGGTGCGATCTCTGTGGAGTGGAGGGCAGGCTGGAGGGGATGCTGGGGAAAAGGCCAAGTCAGTTCCCGTTCCCCTTTGTTATCCCCAAACATCCAATATGATGACGTTTAAATTAAGAAGAAAAAAAGAAAGGATTTAGACCACAGAGAGGCTCTTGTACTAACTGTTTCTATCCAATACTCATATTTAAAAATATGACCCTCTTATTTAAAAATAACCCTGCACTGAATAATTTACATTCTTCTCTGTGATGCTCAGATTTAACAGCCCACAGCTGTAAGATGCCCACAGGAATAAAATTCCTTCACCCACTAATTCAAGGAACATTAATTAACTGTGCCTGGCACTGTGCTAAGCCCCGCAGATGTGTGGAGACGCTGCCCTGCGCAGAGACCTGCAGCCTAAGGTAGGATGCAGGAAGTCAGGGGCAGGCATCACACATTAAGGCGAGTGTCTCGACAGGGAAAACATCAGAGTCAGACTTAAAAAACAGGGCGAGAGAGGGCCCAGGACAGAGGAACTATGAAGAGAAATACTTCAGGGAGGGACGAAAAGACAGGTGCTCACTCTGAAGGCAAGGCAATAGCAGAAGAGCAGGAAGAAACCCAGGAGGGGAGCACGTGTCACGGTAGCCCAGGGAGAGGTGTCATAAGAACAAGTGCCAAGCGACAGAAGGGCGGCACATCGTTCACTGCAATTAGTGACAAGTCAGGAGGGCCCTGCCAACAGCGGCTTGTGTGAGGGGCAGAGACTGTGCCGCTAAGTGGCTGTGGCTGAGGAGCAACAGGTGAGACGATGAGTGAGACGCAGCAGCCATCGAGGACAGATGACCATGTAAGGGAGCGGCTGTGACGACATAGGACTACTCAGCCGTTACAAAAAAGCAAGTTACCTAACAGCATAAAGGAAACGGGTACGATCGCACTTAATGTAAAAATGGGTGGTGTATCCATACAAAACAACGCCTAGAAAAATATTAACTCAAGTGGCAAGCATGGCTATTTCTAGGTGGTAGGGTTTCCGTCTTGCCTCTTTCTAATTCTTTTTTTAAAATGACTGTGTAAAAATAAAATTTTTTCAAAAGATATAAAACTCTCACAAAATAACACTAAATGTTATGAAAAACTTGGGATACCTAAGTTCAGATATAGTAAAATCTCATTTATTTAAAAAAATTGTGTATATGTGGGAAGGCATGTTATGTATTAAAATATAAGCAGGGGTTCTCAAGGCAGTAAGATTGTGGGTGATTTTAGAATTTTCTTTAAAAAATGAGCATGTACTACTTTTATAGGCAGAAAAAAAGCTTTACAAACTTCTTTATAGAAAGTCTGGCTGTGGAGATGAGGAGAAAAAAGAGGGTAGCTGGGTGATGATATGGACTTGAAGATTTTGTGGGGTTTTTTTTGTTTGTTTGTTTGGGTTTTTTTTGAAAGATTTTATTGGGGAATTGGGAGAGGGGAACAGCATTGGGGAATCGGGGAAGGGGAACAGACAAGTTGCCGTCCTTCTGTTTTTCAGTCTAGTTGTGGAGGATGTTGCTTCATTGGCCCATGTTGGTATTATCATTTCGCTCTTCCTGGGCGAGGCAGATTGCTTGCCAGCCATTGGACGGCCGCTCACGCTGGCTGCCAGCTACTCACAGTAGCTCATGGCAGCCCACTGACGCCCCACTGCAGCCTCTATGCCATCACCTGCGACTCACGGCAGCCCAGCTCCAGGTTGAGCTGTTGTTCAGCATCTTAGCTGCAGAGGGCAGTGTCACTGGCCCTCATGTGGGATCCAAACCCGGGCCCTGATGCTCAGAGCTGGCGTCCCAACCTAACTCTTAACCAACGCACCACTCAGCTGGCCCAAGATTTTGTGTTTTTAAGATAGGAGATATCTGAACATGGTTAACTACTGAGAGAAGCTGGTGGAGAGGAAGTGACTGGAAAACGGGAAAGAAGACAGGTGACAGCACAAGGTGAGCAGACAGGGAAAGGGATGGTATGCAGGGCAGGTGGGGTTAGACTTGGGAGGATGGCTGCAGACAAGTTCGGAGGTTTGATGACAATGACACTGAGTTCTCACCACTGGATTCTCTCTTCCTCTGAAGAAGGAAAGGAACAGAGGGTCTGAGGGGTGTGGGGAGGTGTGAAATAGCCACTGTGGGTGATGGAAGAGACAGCTGACAACATGGAAAATGAGACACTGAAAAAAGGACCCACTTGAAATTGGGGTCATGACTGTGAAGAGAATCCGGTGTGCACATCCGGGCAATTTCCCTCAGCAGCCCGGGGTCAAGATCAGAACAAACAGATGTGCACACTGACCCAGAGTCAAGATTCTTCCAGGTGGCCAGGGCATAAGGAGCCAAGAAAAAGAAAAATTACTAGAAAAAAATATATATCAGATGACCATTATTCCTTTATATCAAGTTAAATGCATGAATCACCATGGACACTCTCCTTCTCTGCTCACCTCCATGGGCTAGAACCTGTCAGTAAATCTGTGTTACACTCTGCACTTCCCCAGGGTACAAGTCACTGCCTCTCCAAGTGCCTAGAGAACTAGCAAACATTTAGGGAACACAAAGGTTTCCTGTATGTCTTTATTTAGCATCTTACCTGCTCCAGAGCATCTCCTTCACTAAAATCACCTTTCAGGTTTCTTCCGGATATCAGTTCTTCCCAAGTAAATAGCAGAGAATCTGTTACTTCACCAAATGGATTAAAATCGATCAGCCACACCTTCCCCTGCAGGACAAAGACAAAAATTAACAAATACAGAATAAAAACATTTAAATTCTATAATTTGTATTATCAGAAAGAACTTCATATTATTTCACCCAAAACATAACCTTAAAAAAATCTTATAACTTATTTCAAAAGATAGATATTTCCTCCAGGTCCCATTGGAAAGTCTCCCAGGTCCCATCAGAAAAAGGGCCACCTGTCCAAGTCAAGTGTAATAGCCTCATCCAAAGGGTAAGTTACCTGTAAATACAGAGAAGGGACCGAGGAGGAAAGAAAGCCTGACAAAGACCTATATTTCAACTCCTGCCTCAGCTCACAAGAGTTTTAAGTAAAAAAATCCAAGCAGGAAAAAGGAAAATCTCAGAAAAGGTTACACCGAGGTAGCATGACTGAAATGCTGTCAAGGGTGTCTTCGATTATCTTTCAAGATTATCTTTGCCCTGCCAGGCTGGAAAGAGCCAGAGTTCTGGAGTACCACCCACTCCCACAGCATAAGGAAGGAAGTATGGAAACGTTCAGGTTTCGTTAATTGTAATGTAATATTTGTTTGTCTGTATGTTAGAGCTTAATAGCATGCAAAGGGGACATCTAAAAATTATCATCAACCTTGAAAAGAAGTTTCTATCTTCTACTCTGAGAGTAGAGGTGGGTGGGCAGTGTGATAGGTTCCTGGCTCAGGGAAAGAATCCTGATCTGGTCAAACTGAGTGAAGTTAGAGTCAGGGGCGTCTGAGGATAATGTGGCAGAGCACTGACATCACAGAGCTGGGAAATTCTGCCATGATACTAGTACCAACTGATGACCACCGCGATATACATGACACTGAGTAGACACATGTTTCCTTCAAACTTTTATCTTTACTCCTCTTGATTTTTCTCATTGAAACATTTCACATAATTATAGCGTTTTGTTCTTGATAACTAGGTTTTTCTGTAAATGCGTAGTAATCATGTCTTGATTGGTCATGCGTGTGTGAAATTACATATGCCGAAAGCACTAGATTGCTGAGCCAGCATTACTAATACCAGCACTGTTTCTCATCTGGGTTAAAGGAAAATTTTAAGAATGATGAAATATCTTATTAGGACTTGCTTCCAACATCAGAAGCATCTAGTAAGTGGCAAAGAACCATTACAAGAAGTTTGCAGCACACACCATTTAGGTTTCTTATTTTAATACAATCCCCAGGCAAAATCTTACAACTTGTTTTGCCACTTGAGCTGGTTCCTTGTATCAGTTTGGCGCCCATTTGTACACTGACTACGTGAAATAACATCAACCATCAATTAACTTCTTGGTATGATGTCAGTTTTGCTTTTGGGGCAATTACCAAGATGACCTTGGCATGCTGTATGTTATTTTACCAAAATGGGAATTTTTTACCCCCCAAACCCTTTCTACTTGATTTTTATAACCAATAAAACCATTGCATTATTAAAAGAAAAAAGACTACTGCACCTGTTAGCATAAGAATAAGTTCTGTAAACTATAATAAAAATATGGCATATTGTAAAGAACAAAACAAATTAAAAACACAAAAGTAGATCACTACTGCTAGGACTAATAGCTGGCAGAGTTTGTTCTATAGTTCAGAAGCCATCCTCTAATTCAAAGAAAAATAAAAGCAGCTGGAATCAGGCATAAAACTATCAAGATGAGGATTTTATAGCTATAACATGTTTTTCATGTAACATCTCAGGCACAAGCCATCTGAGAAATTCTGTTTTTAAGCAATCCATCAGATAACACAGGCCCAGTAACCTTCCGGAAATCTACCAACTGACTGACCACCCCCCAACCCAGCCAAATAAATTTCTATGCACCAGACTCAGTGCCAGGCACTGGGGCCTAAAGACTAATAACAGAATCTATTCCTTCAAAGAGCTCAGTCCAGACCAGGACACGAACGCCTACCCCCTCCACCCCCTCCCCAAAAAAGAGAAACAAGCACCATCCAACAATTACGGTACAGAGGGGTAGATGCTTCAATAGAGGTGAAAGCAGGGTACTATGAGACGAGAATATAAGGCGGACCTACCTAAATCTGCAGGGTGAAGCTGAAAAAGCTCCCCAAAGTAACCTGGAATTTAAAGACGACAGTGATGATGATCTGAGCAGTGAGAGGAAAAACAGACCATTTCAGGGGAAAAGAACAAAAATAATAAAAGCCAACATGTGCAAAGGCCATGAGAAGATGGCCAGCCCTGAGATTATTTTCTAGAGGGCTCCAGAATACAGTGGGCTAAGGGAGCTTCGAAAGCCTCCTGTTTCAAACAGGATGGAATTTGGGTTAAAATAATCCCTTTAAATGTATAAATGAGAGTACAAGAAAGAATGGGGATACTGGGATCCAGAAATGAGGAGGAACCTGGAAAATAGAAATAAGCATATAAACTAATGCAGTGGGAACTCTTGCGAGGGATTTCCTCCCAGGAACCTCAGGGCAGGGTTTTAATGTGCAAACAGGAACAGGAGACTGGCCATGGGGAAGAGAATCAGAACCAAGAAGTGAACTTCCAAGGGCTGCCACCCCAGTAAAGGAGCATAAGAAAAAACTCCTAATGACTGGAATAGGAGAAAAAGGAGCTTGTCTTTCTCTCAGTGGGGTTTGGCAAACATGAAGCAGCAAATGAAAAAAATTTTGAAATCTTTGCAATTCCCACAAATAAAAATACCAAGCTTACTAAAGATGAACTCATGGTAAAATAAATAGGCTGGTTTACAAAACCAAAAGGAAATAATCAAC